ACCATGGTTAGAAATTTTTCGATGCATGCTTTCCTGTCCCACACGATCTCCAAGAACTTAGCTGAAATAATCAGGCCCAGTATAGTCTCAAATAATGATTAAAATATGCCATGCTAATAAACAAGGTTATCTAGAATGCAACCTCTGTGCTTTCAAAACAGACAGAATAAACCTCATCAGTAAGCATTTTCCTAAACATCTCTTTGTGTTATATTAACCGACATAAAAAAGGGAAAAATATAAAAATGTCCCTTTATAAATGACATTATTTCCAGATAAGAAAGGTTTGTAAAGTCTCCTGAATGATTCTGTTTAATAACCCTTAATGTTACAAAATAAAATTATCCCTCAATATTACAACATAAAATTACTGGATCATTGTTGACTCTTCTTTGATATCATTTATAAAATGCTTTGATATTACTTACTCAGTTCCCTGATAACTTAAACAAGGTAAAATTAACACTTTCATTTTCAGTTACTGCTATTTTAGAAGAGGATTACCACTTTCTTTTATATGAAACTGTTTTACCAAAGGCTCCTCAGATCCAACATAAAGTAATTCTTATTGCCTCACATTTTAACACAGTATTATAAATGATCTTTATAAAAAGGTTAAATCCACAAAACTTGAAGTCTTAAAAAAAAGTCTTTTTACTCAGAACTGTATCACAGTGCCCTCGATTGCCCAATAGATAAAAAGGATTTGGATTTCCTCTATGAGAACATAGCAGTGGACATATGCACCATGTATTATTCCCAGCAGTGGAGCCAGCCATGATCAGATTAAAACTTCTGCTAACTGAGGCAGTGATCTAAAACAAATGATCTTACAGAAATGAGGCAAAGGACGTGATCTCTGAGACTACTGGGACAAGATCAGGAACTATTCTCCTTCCCCGTAGACTGGACTGGGTATCCCCTCTTAAATGTTCCCAAAGCAACACAAATTTAATTCCGTCACAGAACTTGCCACTCTGTGCTGTGTCCTCTGTTTCCTTGCCATCTTCCTCAATGAGCTGGAAGCCCATTGATGGCAGGGACTGTTTCTTGTTCACGGTTGCACCTCAGTGCCAAGCATAGTGCTTGGTAGGTAATAGACTCCTTAAGTATTTGTTGAATTAATAAAGGATGGATTGTTAAAAAGTGAGTTGTGTATAACGTTTTCTCTCTGCTGTTCTACCTGATATGCTTTGATTAACCTTGTCCTTGTTGCCATTATAAAGTAATGACTTTGCTAGATCAGAGGAGCCTTTGGATTCATGGTGTGCCAATCTCCTGTTTTAGTCATAGCACCTGGTATCAAGAGCTCCAAAAACTTTCAATTGAACAGAAAAAAAAAACCTATTAGAAGACAAGGACTTACACCTCTGAGAGTGTTACTCTCAGTGTTTCCTTTAAGTGTTACTGTATTACTTAAGTGTTCCTTTAAGTGTTTCCTGTAAGTGCTACTGAGAAAGAAACACCTCAAACAACAAAACTACTTACTTGGTGTATCAGACGCCCTAAGCTGGGACTCACAGGCATGTTTCTGCCATTTCTAGCTTGTGACTTTGACAAGTTAAATAACCTTTCAATGCCTTAATTTCCCTGGTTGTGAACTGAAGATAAAACTCTCTTTCAGGTTGGTAAGAATGGCCGGGAGAGGTTTGTGTGAAGCTCATCAAATGGTAACGTAGGCCTACTCTGTGCTACATCATGTCAATACCCGGTGCAAACTAAGCACCTAATAAATGGTATTAGCGTGGATTATGTTTTAAAATATGAGTCATTATACACAACACTCATGTTTTATTGGTTTAGACAATAATGACAAATTGCCCAGTGTTGGTGAAATGTAGCACTGATTCTGTCAAATCTTGACAAGAAAGGAACAAGAGAAGGGGGGACTAGAAGTGAAACAGAAAGTAAAAGAGGGTAAGAGGGATCTAAGTAGATAACTAGCATCACAAAATTATTTATTAGTGTCTCCCCATTGCAGAAATATAGGGTCCCAAAGGTTAGCAGATTTGCTAAAGACAAACACAGCATCTAACTCAGAAATGAGAAACTACACGGTAACAGTCTTCCTGGCCTGAGTACTGCTGTGGTGGGCCCTGTTGAGGAGATTTATAGGGAGGAATCTGCCTCAGTTAGCAGTTTTGATTTGATCATGACTGGGTCCACTGCTGTAAATAATACGTGGTCTGGATATTTGTTGGCATAAGAGATACAATAAAAAGCCTACTATGTGCCAGTCTACATAAACACCTGCTGTAGAATATACACTTAATGATAACTTTAATAAAGGAATTCACTCTACCAAGGACATTCATCTGAGAGGCAGTGAAAATGTAATACAATGCCTCCAAAAATAAAGAAAGTTAACATTTTTGCATGCCTTTGTCTGGGGCTTGTGAAATTCATATCTGCTCAGTCTTAAGGTACTTTCTCTTCTCATACTGCACATTCTCCATGGGCAATTTGCGGTTACAAAGGTGCCATCTACAAGCCAATGACAATCCAGTCGTTTCTACAGCCTGACCTTTTCTCACGTGCTTCAGATCCAGATATGTAGCCTGTGAGTATTTCCACCTGGATATTCCATGACCTCTCAAACTTAGTATGTATAAAACTATATTCATAATTATTCCATCTTATCTACAACAACCATCGTGCTTCCTAATCTTATTGAAAGGCACCACTATGAATCCATTTGCTCAAGGTGGAGACCTAGAATTCATCCTTACTCCTCCTTTCCTCTTTCCCCTTGCCACCTCACCCAGCCAGCCAGCCTAATGATACTGAGTTCTGCTGATCTAAGCCTGAAGCAGCTCTCGACTCTGTCTACTTCTTTCATCTTTGTTGTCACTACCCTATTTGAGGCAACCATCCTCTCGCACTTGAATATTGCAGTAGTTGCCTCCTCCCTCCAGCTTTGCTACGACTGCAGACACAATGATCATTTTGAGGCACACATCTCGTCATGTCACCGCTCACTCTGAATACTCAACAGCTTCTCATTGCCCTTTGCACATAGACCTATCTCCTTTATATGGTTTTAAAGTCTCAATTTATGCCTGTTATTTCAGCACAATTATTAACAGTTCTCACAAGTGTCCGGGACTGGTCAATAGATGATATGCTTACCCTACTTATAAGGCCTTTTATCATCTGGGTTTTACGTACCTTTTTGGCCTATCTCTCACCATTCCCTAACTGAACTCTGCTCCAGTATCACCAAATGCCTTTCAGTTCTTCTGACACACACTCTTTTTTTTAGTTTTACTTTAAGTCCTGGGATACATGTGCAGAACGTGTAGGTTTGTTACATAGTTATACATGTGCCGTGGTGCTTTGCTGCACCCATTAACCTGTCATTTAGGTTTTAAGCCTCACATGCATTAGGTATTTGTTCTAATGCTCTCCCTACCCTTGCCCCCTTCCCCACAACAGGCCCTGGTGTGTGATATTCCCCTCCCTGTGTCCACGTGTTCTCATTGTTCAACTCCCACTTATGAGTGAGAACATATGGTGTCTGGTTTTCTGTTCCTGTGTTAGTTTGCTGAGAATGATGGCTTCCAGCATCATCCATGTCCCTGTAAACGATATGATCTCATTCTTTTTTATGGCTGCATAGTATTCCATGGTATATGTGCTACATTGTCTTTATCCAGTCTATCATTGATGGGCATTTGCATTGGTTCCAAGTCTTTCCTATTGTAAATAGTGCTGCAATAAACATACATGTGCATGTGTCTTTATAATGGAATGATTTATAATCCTTTGGGTATATACCCAGTAATGGGACTGTTGGATCAAATGGTATTTCTAGTTCTAGATCCTTGAGGAATTGCCACACTGTCTTTCACAAGGGTTGAACTAATTTACACTCCCACCAACAGTGTAAAATTGTTCCTATTTCTCCACAGCCTCGCCAGCATCTGTTGTTTCCTAACTTTATTATTATTATTATTATTACTATTATTTTGAGATGCAGTCTCACTCTGTTGCCAAGGCTGGAGTGCAGTGGTACGATCTTGGCTCACTGTAAGCTCCGCCTCCCAGGTTCATGCCATTCTCCTGCCTCAGCCTCCCGAGTAACTGGGACTACAGGCGCCCCCCACCACACCCAGCTAATTTTTAATGTATTTTTAGAAGAGATGGGGTTTAGTAGAGACTGCGTTAGCCAGGATGGTCTCAATCTCCCGACCTCGTGATCTGCCCACCTCGGCCTCCCAAAGTGCTGGAATTAGAGGCATGAGCCACCCCGCCCGGCCATTCCCTGACTTTCTAATAATTAGCATTCTAACTGGTGTGAGATGGTATCTCATTGTGATTTTGATTTGCATTTCTCTAATAATCAGTGATGACAAATGTTTTTTCATATGTTTTTGGCCTCATAAATGCCTGAAACATACTCCTTTTTTTGGCTTCCAGTCTATTGCCCATATTCTTCTCTCCTGCTGGGTCATTTTTTATCTTCTTTCAAAGCTACCTAATGGCAAGTCATTATTCAGGTCATGGCACAGTTCTGTTATATGTCTGTTCTACCATCACTCAGACACCAGTATTTCTACCCTCATGGTTCTTTCCACATTGAAGCTTAACTGTGCATATATTTGTCTGAGGCCATCACTATACCATAGACTCTGAGGGCAAAGATCAGGGATGTCTTTTCCATGTTTTCCTCAGGAATTACTGCTCTCTCAGTTATCAAATAGATGCTTAGGAAATATTTAATGAGTAAATGAATAAATCTGGACATATGAGAATGCCTAGTAGATTATCAACACATGTAAGGCCTCAGTAGTGGAGTGGATAGGTACAGGGTGTTTAACAGTGAGACAAAGGGGTGGGCCATCTGTGTTACTTGTACACAGACCTTGCCCTTCAGGCATACCTTTTCTCCTGGCTACTGAAAAAAAGCATTGTGTGATTTTGTCTGTATTAACAAAAGGCGAGTTGTTGGCATATAAACTCACAGAATATAAACTTGCTTTATTCCTTTCCCTTTCCTAGGGTCCCTAGGGAAAGCCCAAGATGAACACAGTCAAGTTCTATGTAAAATTGTGAAGTAGGGTAAGTGACTGATACTCTTGCACCTCCACCTTTCATGTCTTGTCTGTCTAGAGCACCAAATTTTGGCTTTTGAAGGGGATTCCAAATTTCCTATAAAGATACTCAAACCCAGCTTGCTTTCTGATTGCCTTCTTGGCTTCCTAATGTATTTTTCTTTACCTTTATTAGGCATAGGTAGAGCAGGGGTTAGCAAACCATGACCTGTGGACAAAATCTGGCCTGCAGCCTATTTTTGTAAATAAAGTTTATTGGAACACAGGCAAATCCGTTCATTTACATACTGTCTATGGATACATTCTTGCTATAATGGCAGAGCTGAGTGGTTGCAACAAAGACCCTGTGGCCTACAAAACCAAAATATTTACTATCTGACCCCTTACAATAAAAGTTTGCTGACCCCTGGTCTTGAGTCCTTATCTAGGAGATCTTGGGAAGAGTCTAGGAGTTTGCTACTCCAAGTGTGGTCTGTGGACCAGCAGCATCAGACTGAAGGAGTCTCCTTTGAATACAGAAATCTTAGGTCCATCCCCAAACATAATAAGTTAGAATCTGTATTTTAATAAGATCTTCGGGTGATTCATATGCATGTCGATGTTGGAGAAACATTGATCTAAGTATCTTTGGAGACTGAGGAGGGCCCCCAATAGAACTCACTCTTGATAATGTATTGCCTCTAGGATGTGCAAATAGTTTGGATGGTGGCCTAACATTAATGGGCTTCAGGAGTATCACTGCGTTAACAGGCTATATGTCTTAACCGCAAGAAATAAAGCCTTGGTGATGGAATCTTAGGATTATGGAAATTGGCAAAGTGAATATTTTGGAGGATGGAAGGACTCTAAGTATGCCTCAACTCACACCATTAAGCAGCCATGTACTTTGCCAAGGAGGCCAACCCTGAGCATGTTTTTTTCTTTTTTGAGCCCAGAAGTGGCTGTGGAGCATTAGTGATGCTAGTCAGAAGTTGTTGCTGTTTTATTATACACCACAGTGCTCCATTTTATTGCAACGACAAAAATACCCCCACTCTCTGTCCACTTCACTGTTTCTGAGCTTTGAGGAAGAGAGGCTTGGTTGAATTTCTAAAAAGCTGTCATTTGCTATTCATAATCTGTTTTGGTGGCTCTAACTTTTTTTTAAAAAGTCATGCAAAAGAAGGCTATTTTTTATTATTCTTGAGACATTACACTGGGGACAGTTCCTGGAACCCTGTAAGAATCATGTTGAGCAGTGGAACAGTGTGATAGTGTTTGCCATCAAACAAAACTTCCATGTGATTACCAGCAAGGGCTGTGAAATATTCTGTAAGTTAGTTACGTGGGAAGGCAGAGTGTTTCCAGCAGCACATGATGTTCCCCTTCAGAGGAGGAGATTTGTTTACCCTTCCAAAATAATACAAAATAAAACCTAAAATCAAGGACACAGAGTACTCTTTTGCAAATGGGCAGACCCAGTGTGTCCACCTAGGAAATTTAATAAATCTCATCATTAGCTCCATCCCTAAAACATTTTGTTGCAGTGAGGAAGACACAGAAGTTGGTTTTGTTTGCCTGTTTTTGTTGCTGTTGTTTTGCTCAAGTCTTTTATTTCACTAACCTTGGGCTCAGATTCGTTTATTAAAGAGGAAAACATGCTCTAAATGTATTACCATATTAATTTACGTAAAAGTACACTTTGTATCATTTGGAACCTGAGGATAATAGTCCTATGCACTCTCAATTTATAACTGTAACAGGAGATGGCAATGGATTAAAAACCATGATTTTGATGTCACCTTTTTCTGCCCTTACTAAAACCATTTCTATAGCTAATAAATAATACCTTTGATTGGTTTTGAAAATTTTCTTTATTTCACTTTACCATATCTCTGAAGCAGTTTCAAATGAATCAATTAAAATAAAAATTGTGTCTAAAAGAAACAAAAGAGACTTCAATGTTCCAAAGTGGGTATTCAGGCCCTTGAAATATGAAGCTGGTTATGTAGATTCATTGAAGTAGTCTCTCAGCTGGGAAGGGCTGGAGACGCTGACCCAAGGAGATTTGCAGTTCTAAATTTTAGTGGTATTCCTTACTACCCTTGAATGACTTGATGGAGCACAGGGTGAATGGGACAATTATACAGATTTAAGATTCTGGATTGTTGCATGTTGCTCTTGTCAAAATCCTTCACTGTTATAAATGCAGTCTACATATCTAGGGAATGGGGCTATCTATAAATGTTCTCCATATGGAGGGAAGTTTACCTCCTCCTTCTGTAGCGAGCTGTTCTGATCCAAATAAACTCTGTGAATGGGTGAAACTCATGCTCCTTCCTTGTCTATTAACTCACTTAAAAGTATCTATGATTCTATTTCCACAAATAGCTCCAGAGTACCTTCTATGGGCCAAGTCCTGTGTCAGCACAGGTTATTTCAGTAACTCCTTACCATTACCTTGTAGGATAGGCATTATTCCACTCAAATTGTGGATGAAGAAACTAGACTCACAGAGGGAAGCTGTTCCCGTCACTCCACCATGCTGCATTGTTTCATAAGTGGGTTTAAAGGCTTTATTTATTTATTTATTTTCAGCAAGTAATGACTAAGGCAATGAATGTGTAATATGCCAACACTGCATTCCTTGTTGGGGATACAAAGGTAAATGTGTCACTGTTTTGGGCCTCATGGACTGTATGCCAAACAGGAAGATATGGATTTCATTTTTTATTCCAAACTCAAGTTGTTTTTTCAATCTCTTTTGTTGCTTTTACTTGGTAGTAGAAGTGCCACATGGCCTATGCCACACAGGACTTGTGTGAAAGAGCTGAGGCAGAGCCCGTGCTTTCTGCATCTTCATACTTCATGGCAGACGTAATAGACTGATGGAGATGACTGAACAACTGTATGGGTGATGACAAATGTGCTCATTAGGTGCAACAGCTCATTAATTCAAGAATCTCAAATTTTGAAAAATAACAGCAATCCAGTAAGTAAAAAAGAGCCTCTGAGTGTCTAAAATAGAAGTCACTGGGTCTATCAACTAAAGCTCATGTGCTTTATTTGAAGAAAAATAATTCAGGCCTTTGTTTTAACCAATTTACTCTTATCTGACACAAAATTTTAACGTGTTTGGGTATCTTGTAGCTCACAGCAAATTTAAAAAGAAACCTACTTATCCTTGGGCATTAGTCAAAAGAAGAGATTAGATTTCCCTCCAAAATACTAATAATTTTATTGAGGGCTGGTTCTGTTCACTTGAATTGGGAGATAGTATTGAAAATGCATTTTTAGAAATACAAGAAGCATAAAACAGACAATTTTGATTTGACTTTCTTATGAAGGATGTGATTGAGCTTAAATCTGTTTTCAAAGCCACCATACCTTTTATTGAGAACAACTGCATCCCTTACCCTTTGCTTCATCCCCTCTCATTTTCCATTGGTGTGTGCAACTGACAATGGTTCTAGTGCATTGATAACAGGTCCAGTCAAGTACCAACTACAGAGTTCCCACAAACCAAAAGAGAGTGGCTTTTAATCTTATACCCTATTCTTTAATAAGGATCTGGACTTCAAACGGAAAATCTCAAATTGGAGTTACACCATTTTTTTGGCAAAGGAGTACTTCCTGGGGCCTGCCTAAGTTGCATCATGTCAGTGGCTAGAGGAGGCTTCTCCAGAGAATAGCAAGAGTGACGATAAAGAGGCTCTATGAATCAGTAGGGGAACCAGTGGGCACACTCAACTCTGGGGTGAAACTGCTACTGGTCACCTGGGCAGAGAAATTATGGATTAAATACTTCCTTTTGCAGGTGGTACATTGTTACTTCATTGACTTGTGAAGGGTTTTTTTAATTGTAGGAATATGTGGGAATATTTATTGCAGGAATATTTTAGGAATATTTCTGAGAGTGGATTTATAAAGTATGATCCAATGGTATTTCTGTTTGTGAGGGGAGGAAAGAGGCAGTAAAAAAGAAGAGCTTCATTTTCACATTTTAAACAATTATAATATGTTAGTTACCTGAGGAAAAGTATATTTGAATCTAAAGATGCTAAATATGAGATATCAATTATAAATTTCTGATCTTTTTTAGTGATATAGGAAAGGGATGTATAGTGCGTTAGTCACTTTTAAGAATCCCATATTTGGACACAGACCAACTGATAATTTGACCAAGAGTACCAGAGTAAGTAACAAAATGGGGAGAGCTGCAAACACAATGCAGACTGCTTAACTTGCATTTACATGTTTGTATGTGCTCATCTCACGCTTTTGTAATCCATTTGGATGAGTGGCTCACTCTTCAAAGATTAACATTTTATGACCAAATTACTGAGAAATATCCATCTCTGGGTTAAGACAGTGAGTGAAGCATGGTATGAGGAATACCACTGGATAAGAACAAGACAAGGGATAATGTATTAGTCAGGGTTCTCTAGAGGGACAGAACTAATATGAAATATATATATATATTTTTTTATATATATTTTTTATATATATATTTTTACATATATATATATATGTGTAAAGGGGAGTTTCCTAAGTATTAACTCACACGATCACAAGATCCTGCAGTAGGCTGTCTGCAAGCTGAGGGCAAGGAGAGCCAGTCTGAGTCCCAAAACTGAAGGACTTGGAGTCCGATGTTCCAGGGCAGGAAGCATCCAGCATGGGAGAAAGATGCAGGCTGAGAGGCTAGGCCAGTTTTGTCTTTTCACATTTTTCTGCCTGCATTATATTCTAGCTGCGCTGGCAGCTGATTAGATGGTGCCCAACCAGATTAAGGGTGGGTCTGCCCTCACCAGCCCACTGACTCATATGTTAATCTTTTCTGGCAACACCCTCATAGACACACCCAGGATCAATACTTTGCATCCTTCAATCCAATCAAGTTGACATTCAGTATTAGTCATCACAGATAATATATTTGGTTTTACTCTCTTCCATTATAACATTGAGTACATAAAATTATCTTCATCACAACCATCATCACCTTCTCCATCATTATCATCTGCTATGGTTTGAATGTTTGTCCCCTCCAAAACTCACGCTGAAACTTAATTGTCATTGTAATTGTATTAAGAAGTGGGACCTCTAAGAAGACATTAGGCCATGAGGGCTCCACCCCATGGGTGAGGTTCATACCATTATAAAATAATTAATTTTGACCCTCTTGCTCTCTCTTACTTTCTTGTCTTCTGCCGTGTCATAATGCAGCAACAAGGCCCTTGCCAAATGCCAGCACCTTGAAACTGGACTTTCTAGCCTCTAGAACTGTAAGCCAATAAATTTCTGTTCATTTTAAATTACCCAGCCTTAGATATTCTGTTATAGCAGCACAAGACCGACAAAGACACCATTATTATTATTGAGCACGTGTTAACAACTTAACACATATCAACTCATTGGTGGTTTTCAATAAGTCAATGAGGCAGATAATATTATTATCCTGATTATTTTTATGAAACTGAGGCAAAAAGTTTGATAATTTACCCAAATGTATGTACCTAGTATATATAACTGAGGACAGTCTCTTAAACATTATTTTATATTGCCTTTGACCTGGTGAGATGTTAGGCAATTTTAATTTTAGTCCTTCATTTTGCTAAATAAGCAAACTGAGGCCCATTGAAAAGAACTGGCTTTCCTTTGACAGTCAACCAATTCTTGATAGAATTTTGATTAGAATTCACATTTTTTGACTTTTAGTCCAGTGATCTAATATTATACTTTATCCCCTATTTTCTAGGTATTCTAATCTCCACCAGAATGTCCACTTCATAAGGGAAAAAAGGTAGAAACCAAAGCTTTACACTCTTTCACAAATACAATGTTTGGTAGGAGTGGAGACTCAGTCTATTGATGAAATTGGATTCTAGGGCTATTTTTATATTCATTACTACCTGTGAGGCCCTGTTAACCAAGATATTTCATAAATGGTGTAGAATAATGATTCGTTTTTAGCCTTTTAGGGAAGCCATTTTATCTCCAGCATCCTTAATTCTGAAGGGTTGTAGTCCAGTATTTTTATACCTATTGTCTTCATATCATTCATAACTGAGTAATATTGAGTTATATCACGAAATCATAGTGTACCTTTCTAGTATGTAATAACAATAAACTTAAATATTCACAGCCCTAGAACAAAGTTGAACAGTGCTTGAGTAACTTTGAATGAGACTTGGCTTGCCTTTTTCAATCCTTGCACCATTCCATTCCAGTTCATGATTAGTTCCTTAGGTACTTACAAGACAAATAAGTTGCTTGTTTTGAAAACTGAAACATTGCTATTGGTTAATATGTGTTGAATACAACTAAAGATTCAAGTAGGCTGGGCGCGGTGGCTCACTCCTGTAATCCCAGCACTTTGGGAGGCCGAGGCAGGCGGACCACAAGGTCAGGAGATCAAGACCATCCTCGCCAACATGGTGAAACCCCGTCTCTACTAAAAATAATAATAAGAAGAAAAATTAGCTGAGTGTGGTGGCGTGCACCTGTAATCCCAGCTACTCGGCAGGCTGAGGCAGGAGAATCACTTGAACCCGGGAGGCAGAGATTGCAGTGAGCCAAGATTGCACCACTGCACTCCAACCTGGCGACAGAACAGACTCTTTCTCAAAAAAAAAAAAAAAAAAAAGATTCAAGTACACTAAAGAACATGTGGAAAATAAGCTTTCTTCATCTTAATAGCTGACATTCTAAAAAATATGGAAGGGAAGGTCTCCTAGTATTTTAGGGTACTCAATAGTATTCAATTGTGAAAACTAAATAACATGTTTCTTCTTATAAGTTCTATTAATTAAAGAACAGAATCTGGTTTTAATGAACTAATTTTAATCCTTCTTTGTGGTGAGGAATTTAGATTATGGAGTACCCAAAGGGCTTCATTATGAGACAGTTTCACTTATAAGCAGAGCATCAATCTACCTATTTTGAGCAAGATTTAAACTTACGGGTAAAATATTCCCTTGCGTTAAGGCAGATGCCTTGAGAAGTTGCATTAATAACTATTTAGAGTAACTCTTTATGATTCATGAGCTAAACAGGGTTATTTTCCTGTGGCTCACCAGACCATCTGTAAATTGGCCTGACATAGAGCTTCAAAAGAATAAATACATACTAAAAAATTCAGAGTTAGAATTGAGGCTGTTTTCTTAACTTAATTTGAAATCCCAGTTGTTGTTTTGAGACCAAATCAAGTGTCTTTTATTTTAAGCTCTTTTTCATTGAGGTCTAAATGTTGACTATAGGTTGATTTCAGCATATAAACTTTAACATATGGTAAGCAAGTAAATATTTTTCAGTTATTTGATATGTATTTCCTAATGTTTGAGTATATTGAGTATATCAAGTAGAAAATACCATGGAAACTCAGACAAAAATAATAATATTATATAATCACTGGATCCCTAACTTATCCATCCTCTGAATACAAATAGTGTCTCCATGACTTAAATTATGAATAACATACATTTTTCACCATGAATGTAACACATTACTTTGTAAAAATTAAACAACACAGAAGTGAATTAAAAAAAGTGATTGCCCACCTCCACTCCCTATTTCTTACATATCCATAGTGTAGAAAATTCCATGCTCTCTTTCACAAACTTATCTGTGTATATGCATCTACAGACACATTTGTAATTTTGTTTTATAAACATTGAGATCAGATTATACTTACTGTATGGTAACCTGTTTTTTTAAATCTTAAATTTAGCCACATATAAAGATTAAATTAATTTTTTAACAGCTAAATATTATTCCGTCTATCATCTTTTAAAAAATAATTTCCTTGTTTATAGATATTGAAATCATCTTCTAAATTATTTTCTATAAAATGATTCCTGGTGAAAAGATTCCTGTAGATCTCCCAATAACGTTAATACTGATTTTTATACTTGATGAAATCCATACTTGACTCAAAATTCAAGATACGCACATATATGTTAAGAAATGAATCTCCCTCCTACTCCTATTTCCTAACCACTCAGCTTTTAAAGAGTTTTTCTGGGGATTATTTAGTGTGTATATATATGTATGCAAAATGTCTCTGCACATAGGCTACCATAATCTATACACTCCTATGTGCCTTGCTCTTTTACTTAATAACAGATCAATTGGTTTAAACTGCCTATCCCTTTTTTCTTTCTATTATGAAGTATTCTATTATATGGATATAGTGTAATTTATTTAACCCATTAAATATTAAATAGCTCCTTAGTAATTTGTTTTCCATTTTCTCTATTACCTTATACATATGCCATTTTCACAGATGAACATATGTCTGTAGCATCAGATGTATGTGGAATCGGCAGATCAAAACCTATATGCAATTTTGTTTTGGAAAATTTCAGATTTTAAACCTTTTGTATGGAGAAGTTGTAACAGTATACTCTTGTACTAGGAATATATAAAAGCATTTTCCCTACAATTGTCCAGCACAATTTTTCTCTTTCTCTCTCCCCCTCTCTTTTTATCGTGTCCAAATTGATAGATTAAAAAATGATACCTCATTATGATTTTGTTTTCTATATTTTAAAATTATCAGTGAGGCTGAAAAATAATTCATGTGTTTAAGAACTATTTGTATTATCTTTTCTCTCTCTCTCTCTCTCTATATATATATATATATATTTCATTTTCTTCCAAATTTGATTCTTGGACATTTCTTGGACATTGAAGAGTCATGTAAACTCTTCACATATGACCTTTTATTGGTGACATTAATTGCAAATTCACCTACCCCGCCCCCTTCAAGCAAAATTTATCATTTATCATTTGGCTTTGTAATTATTTTGCAATGAAAAAAGTTTTCATTTTTACCTAGTAGAATTTATCATCTGTTTTTAGTGCTTTCTGAGTTTTATTTGATATTGAAAGTTTATTTCCTCTTCCAAATTGTTTTTTAAAATCACTTAATCTTCTTAGTACTTCTATTGCTAATTTTTTTCTCCGTTAATTCTCACATGCATCTGAAAACTATTTGGTTTATTTTTACATACCAAGTTTTAAATCTACTTATACTGATTTAATGATCAACTTACATTACACAAACTCCTATTTACCGGATTTGATTGTATCAGCCATTCCATTAGTCTCCCTTGGTTGTTTTTTTTGATATTCCCAAAGGGTTATTTCACAAACTGTCTAGTATGAGAGAGAATAATTCCTTGGTTATAATTGTGACTTCTGAAATCAGATAGACTTTGATTTCAATTATAACTCTGTTTACTAGGTGAGGCACCTTCAGGAAATCTCAGTAGAAGCTAATGGCCATAGTAGTGGTAATGTTGCTATTGTAAGGTTGCTGTGAGGATTAAGTGAGATGATACATGCTAAATGCCTGGTATATAGTAAGTACGTGGT